TTAGGTTTTTCCCTTCCCCCCCTACTCCCCTCTCCCAACCAGAATCTTGCCCCATGACCATACTCCCTATACCTGGACTCTGTAGCCCAGGAACATCTGTGGTCCTGCTAGACAACAGATGTTGCCAGACCAGAGAGTCCCCATTAAAGAACGTACAATCTGTATTGCCAACTCCAAGCATTCAAAAATCATGAGTTTAGTTTTAAAATCTAGAGATTGTTAAACAGTAAACTGGCTTTCTTTTTCTAAGATTTTGTTTGTGTTTAGATCTTAAGAGTAACTTCAGTTCATGTGTTGCCCGCTTTACTCTCCAACCATGAGAGCTACAAGCTTCGCCCCCTTCCCAGACCAAAAAACCAAACACTGAGACAAACATAAGAGCAGCTGGAAACCCACTCTCTCCCCTCCCCGCGCATAGCCCTATTGAATTCAAGTTCAGTTTATCTATTTCTCTTCTGCCATTTGGTATCTCTCTCAGCAGTTGGGAGCAGAATCTCTTCTATTCCTTATTTTGAAGTTTCATTTGTCATCTATAATAGTAACCTTAACTCACATCTTGTCAAGTACAGGAAAGAACATCAATTTTCAAATAGTTTGTTTTACAATGTATTAATGTGTAAGTGTATAGGCTAATGCTACTCTTAAAGTATTGTTTCATGTTTCAGTATTTCTTAATTCAATCACAAAATAACATTCACAATATTATATTATTAGCTATACTTCCATGTACCTCAATTCACCTACTCTAAAAAAGGGGATAATGCAACTTATTTAAAGGTCACCTAAAAACCAAAAAAGAAAATCGAGTTAAGTACAGACCCATGTGTTAAATAGTCCCACAAATCAAATTCTTGGGACAGGACAGAAAAATCTCCCTCATGCCCCCCACCACCACCCGAAGTTACCCTGCACTTCACTATTCTCTTGAGAGCATTCCATTGTGTGACATCACTCAACGCATAAATCTAATTTCAAACCTACAATCAATCTACACTGTATATGCACATTTAAGAAAAATCGTTCATGTTAGGATACTTATATTTCAGGACAGTCTTATTTTTATATTTCAGGCCACCAGCCTGGATGGGAAAATAATTCTGAAACTCAAAGGAATCCATTGTTGGTAATTTGGCTGCTGCATTGAAGTATCTATACAGGCTCTCCTATGCCATATATGCAATAAAAAATGAGTAACCGAAGTGAAAAACCATAAGCCAATCTGTGGGGTGCACAGCACTTTTGAACATCAGGCTATTTATTTAAGAGCATTAGCTTTGGACTGTTGTTTTTAAAAAATTTTAGCAATAAAAATCATTTACAATCTTTACAATTACATGAAGTGTGTAAAGTTATTATTTAGATTGCTACAAATTGATATCGTTAGGAATTAAGGTTGAAAAATGTGTGACTGAATAGCACCAAAAAACTGACACTGACATGTTCGACGGTGGAATAATTTCACAAAACTACACTAGAAAAAAAAGTGAAAACATGCTGTCCGTACCAGTGCTCTACAGGGGGCACTTACATGGTGATGGGCACAATCCGAACTTAAGTCATATGGACTGGAGGATTACATATTAACTTCCCATTCCTCATTTTTAACTTTTGATTCACAAAAAATATCAGCAAGAAGAGGCTATCCAAAACTTCCCTATTCATTTTTTTCCTCAAACTAGAACACAAGGTAGATAACCTGGAATCTTCACAGAGATGAAAACAACTCACTCACATCCTCTGTCCTGCTCTCGCTGAGTGATGGAATTAAGACTGGGTGAACTGAGCATCCAAATGTCCTCCCTACTAACCTTGTAGAATGTATCCAGAGAAGATAAATGGCTTCCATAAAATCATGTGAGATTGGGGGAGCCCCTAGCAATATGGCATTAATAGGATCTGCCAGGTCTGAAAGACATCTCTGCACGGCTTTCCCCTGAGAGAAAACACTGCATTTTCCCCATTCCCACTGAGATTATTTTAAACAATTTCCATGAAACAATCTTCAGAAAGATTTTCTGAAAGATCCACTGCCCTGTTTTTTTCATGAAGAGGAAGCAATTTAACTTCTAATATTTAAAAAACAAAAAATCTAAGGCCCCATATTCAATCTCACATACATTTCTAGGAAAATAGCTTGTCTGTCCCAAATATTTTCATTCACATTCTCAGTTCAATGGCTGTATTTTCTTTATGGGGGAGGTTAGACAAAATTTAAATCCAGCTATTAGCCAGTAATCAGGTCATGGGAAAGAATCACATCTTATCTAAGACATTTTTGTATTCAAACACATTTGTCTGAATTTCAACTTCTGATTGTATGAAGTTCTCAAGCTTTTCCAAGTTTGAAAAAACTGGTTAAAAATTAAAAAACAAATGAAAAACAGCATGCACTGTCTGTTTACAACTTCTACTGTGCTTTTTAGTCTTATTGTACACCAAAACCTTGTATATATTTGGGACACAGTGAAAAGGATTAATTTAGTGCTTATACATTCATAAAAATGCAGTATATATTGAATGTGCGAGCCCACAGACATTTGCCAGTATTAAAATAAACTTTGTGCATCCATATCACTGTGCAACTACTCTGACAAACTTCCTTTAAAAACCAAAGATGGCAAATGTAAAAATTACACAGGCATAATTGTAACAAGATTTTACACACAAAAAATACAATTTTTTCCATATACAGTCTTCAAATACTGCATAGTTAAAAATAATGACTAATTGTTGATTCAAAGAAGAAAGCAGGAGACCTATGTAGATACATATATGTATACATAAATGTTTTAAAGGGACACAGATTAAATTAAATATTTGTTTGCCAATTTGTTTTAACGCAATATATCTTTTTAAAAAATACAAAATGGCATAAGGAGAGGAGGAAGGGATAGGAAGAAAATGGTCTCTAATAATGTTCATGAGCCATACAACTTTATACTGTACATTATATGTTATTTCTATTTGACCATTACCTTTACAGGAATAATCAATTTTTATAATACTGGTGGCAACAAATCATAAGAAAAAAGAACAAAGATTATAGAAAGCCATTAAGAGAATGACAATACATAATCCCTATTAATAAGTTTATGATAATCAATCAAGTCAGTCAATAGCTCTATGATCAGTTCTCTTCAGATTTCTTTCCTAAAATGAACATGAAACAAATTCAGGTATTGCTAACTACTACACTACATGCACTTAAATATAAACGAAAAACCTACAAGTGTGAAATTTATTATGAGAAAATATTTTAACAAGGTTACACACAAGTTATTTGTATATCTGTCTTGCCACAAAAAGATGACATTTTACTTACAGTATTTACTATAAATGTCTAGCTCACTTTCAATGCTATAAGATTAAACCTTGACTTTTACTCTCAAAGTGTGCAATCTCTCATTTACCATCCACACAAGTCAATATGAACAACAGTAGATCGTTCTCAGAAGACACTATTCATTTTTTAAAAATGAATAATCAAAAATAAAATGCCCAAGGACAAGCATTAAAACAGCTCTTTTGGGCATCAATTATGCTCTCTTTGAACTCAACAAGAGTTTTGCCATGATTCTTCACTTCTCAGTTTCACTGGATTCCTAAAATTTGAACTTTTATATATTTCATTTAAGTAAATTTCATTCAAAAACTATACAGTATTCTTGAAAAATATGTTTATACTCACTACAAAAAGGTAGGAAAAAGATGTAGAATCCTTTCTACTACCCTGGTTCGGCCACATCTACACTGCAGAATTTTTCTGGGATACTGGAGATATCCGGAAAAACTCTGCCGTGTCCAGGGAATGCGTCTGCTCTTCCAAAAAATTTGTCAGAAAAGAAGATTCACTCTCTCAGCATCCCTGTAAACCTTATTTTATGAGGAAGAAGGGATGTTATGAAAGGGAGGTTTTCCGACATTTGGCCCAGTGTAGACAGGCCAAACATTGGAAAAGCCTCTTCCGAGGAAAGCAGTGGAAAAAGCTACACAAATTGCAGTTCGCAGTTTGCGTAACTTTTTCAGGAAAAACAGCCCAGTGTAGACATAGCCTTGATGGTAAACAAAGAAAACCTGAGTCTCCTAAAAAGGTGGAAGTTTCTGATGATTAATTCTGGACGAGGGATTTTAAATAGATCAATTTTAAATGACTTAAGCTAACAAAAACTAAAAGTTCTTCCTCTCTGTTGTTTAGATAGCACTTGTTAAATACTTGCTATATCATAGTCTTCCTTATTTAGCTCTCAAATAATTCATAGTGTGTTTCTGGGGGAACAAAGTAAACTAACTCCTAATACACATAGAAATTCATTTAACACACACAGAAATTGCTTAAATTGTATTAGTTTGCATTCCCTCTTTTCTGACTGGTGAGTTACACTAATTTAAATGTGTCTATAGTAGGGGTTTGCTCCAGTTTAACTAGACTGACTTTTTTGTCAATGACGGAGCTAGAAGTTATGCAATTTTCTAGCCTCTGCTGAAAATCTGGCAATTTTTAATTTGTCTTTATATTTGTTAACACCCTCATGGCTCAAATGTATGACAGGCCCTTTGACAAAAACATTTTTTCTTAACAGTTCAACACCCACCAAGTCAATTATGATGGGAAAGCTCACCCTTTTTTAGTACTCCAAACAGACCATGCACCAGCATCCCATTTTTGACCAGGAATTAATATTCATTATATTTCTAAGGCAAAACAAGAAGGAAAAAAGACTAAAATAAGGAACTAAAACCAACATCCAGGTCTTCTTTACAGATCATTCACAAAAAGAACAGAAGAAAGAAGGACAACCCCTATCTAATTTTCCTTGGTGGGTCACATTCAACAATGGAAAAAGGATTAATTGGCATTAGCACTAGGTTTATTACAGAAAATAAATGGTTTAACAGGAAAATTATTGATACGATACTAGTAACAGTGCATTGTTTTAATAAGTGCAGAATCAAGTGCAAATTACTATTAATGAAATTTCAGAGTACATTTCAAAAACAAAGGAAATATATAAGCTTGCATTTCAATGTGCTATGTCATTCCTCTGGATAAATGCTTAGCTGGTAAATCACTGAACAAACATATGCAGTAAGTTCTTAAATGACCAGTCACATACAGACTTTTCACGTGAGAAAGCACTACCTGTATGAGTATGGGTTTTGCAAAACTGGTATCTAGGCTATAAAATATATGCCATAAAACATGCCTGTGATTAATGTGTTAGCATTCAAATGATTCCAATCAGAATCTGGGTAGTATTTCTGAGTTAAGTAGGCTGAGGAGAGCTAAACTCACACCACTGATGCTGCAATTTAGCAATTACATATTATTTACCATTTTTATATGTCTGAAGCATAGCAACTAAAACAGATTTTTTTTTTAAATGAAGCAGAATGTAGGAGAATAAAACAAAAATTGTAGGGAA